TTTTACACGTGGACGTATATAGATAGTGTTAGCGACATATTCCCGCCAGTAGTTCAAGTTTCAGTTATCGTGCGTGCACAGTACGTGTTTTCGAGTAAATTAAGTTTTAAGCTACCCTTGACTATTTAGAGTGCAAGCGGGAACCTATGTGTAAGTACAAACTATTTTCTATGCCTGCTTTTAGTATAAGTTTCAAGTTTTGACGTTTTTTAACCTTAAGTACCTTTAGTCTCGGTTTTTTATACAACAGCCTATTGTACTAAGTCCAACACGTGGCAGAGCCCCAGTTTTCAAAGTTTTTATTTCATCTTGCTTTTAGTGATAGATCTTTATAGTTTACACTCCCACTAGCTTAGGTTTCTATTTAGCAACTTCCTATAAGAATCTGTGGTAATTCAGTTAAGTCCTTTCGTTGCTAGTAAATTCCCACATCGCTTTCAGTGGCGCTCACGCAAGCACGTTTTTATCGCATTGTGCAATTTTATTGTTTTCAAGATTTTAGAGTTTTATCATTTATTGTATTCCGACGGTTAGCAGTATGCGTATCTGCTTGGGATCACTGATGATTTTAATTGTATCTTTACTGAGAAGTTTGACTGNCACCGCAGTTATGATTGGAATGTTTGCTATTATTGTTTCGTGACTCTTGTCATCTTGTAATCTTCTATTATCTAGTAATTAGTTTATTCGCTGCATTGTATTTCAGTTTACGTTCGATTATCGTCAATTAAATCACCGTCAATCACAGCTGATTTTCCGTGATCTCTGGCTTTATTCGATTAGTAAATCATCTCCCACACACGCTAGTCTCATCGCGACAAGTTGTCTAGCAAGTGACAATTCAGCCTTTCAACAGTCGCCGTGAACCTGACGTTACATATAGTCAAGGTTTTCTTCCGGGAAAAAAAGTTCTGAGTCTAGCTATTAGCATTAGCGATACAATTCCAGTCTGCTATGAAGTGTACATCCATCCCGGGGAAACTCCCATATAAAAGGAACAGGGGTGCTGATTGTACCGTTTAGGAGTTGAAAAGGTCCACAGTGTGGGAGCTTTTGCAGTACCTTTTAGGGCACTGAGCCGGAAAAAATATGATAGGAGATAATGTGTTGTTTTAAAATTGGTTCCTCTTGGGGGTGAAAAAAAAAAATTACGCCACGCCCACAAAACAGGATCTTGGTACCTCTTAGCTCTTCTTTTCAAAATTTCCGACGAGCACCCCCGTCCTTTTTTTTTTTTGTAATGGGATTCCCCCGAAAAATCCACCATCGTTGGGATCCAGTTTAGTTATCGTACGACTCTCCAGTGTGAACGGTTAGTTTGACGTTCGTTCCGTACAGACTGAGTGCAGGATAGAACTCTCCTGATAACCCCACAAATGTCGGTCCGTTTGGTCTCGATGGATCAGCAAGGAGCTTACCTAAGAGAGAGAAGGTTAGAGTAAAGTCTGCTTTTAATCCTCGTGGTCTATCAGGCCGTTGCTTATCTCCTTCTATTAAAATAAAAACTGATCATTGGATAATGCAATTCGAGAGTCTTCATTGCCTTAACCATCAGCATGGGTTATGAGCCATTATACCATGCTCTACAAATATGGCAAGGATACGCGTGATTTTTGAGGGTCTTTTAATTTTTATTTTAGTTTAGTTTTCTATACTTTGGGGACGTTGTTAATAAAACAATTATTCCACTCACGCTTGTTGGATGTGAGATGATTATAGCCAACTCGGCGCTACGTGCCTCGCTGGCTATCTACCATCTTATATCCAACGTGCACTCGTGGAATAATTGTTAATTATCTGTACCATTAAGCGACTAAGAGCATTTCTACTCCAACCTGACAATTAGTCTATTTCAAGATTACTTGAAATACACATCTGGGAGGAAAGAGGCAGTGTGGGATTAAAGTTTCTTGCCTAAGAACACTGCATAATGACTCAGCCTTGAACCTATACTGCTCAATCCAGATGGCTAATTGCCTCTATCAGACCCCCGTGCAGGGAATCATGGTAGCTGTATCCAGTACAAGACGATGAACACAACTACCATGGTTTCCCTGCAGGCGCTTTTCATAGAGGGACTTGGCGATTCCTGGGCAGCCAACACGCAAAATTGAAAGAAAAAGAAAGGTCACTGTTTCAATTCTTTCCTAAATACTGTCGTAAATTTGAAAATGAGAGTTATCACAGGTAGAGGCAGCGTGGCAGGGTCAATAAGGCGCCGCACTTGAAACCGGAAGTTGCGGGTTCTTCGACGTGAAGTTAATTTTGTATAACTCAAAATGAAGTATTACTATCACGCTACTGAATATACCTTATTCAAAACTACCACAGCCTTAAGTTCAGACAAGAAACCAGTGTAAAGCTGAGGGGGGGGGGGGGTGATTTTGGACCTGATTGGTTTACAACAACAATGTCATTTTTCTATGATTTTTTAGCGCACATTTCTTAAAGTATCGAATAGTGATCTTCAACGAAGGTCACAAATGATAACCTCTTGCGAATCTGATGTGCTGAATTGTAGGTTACCATCACAACACAACTGCCACCTTACCAACTCTCGCCTTCCCTCAAATAATAATATCACCCTCCCCTCAAATAGCTTAAGAACTCTATAGTGCCTGAACCAACCCTCCCCTCCCTTCAAATACCTGAAGAACTCTATAGTGTCTAACCCAGTCCCCTTCCCCTCAAATAACTGAAGAACTCTATAGTGTCTAACTCAACCCTCCCCTCCGATCAAATAACTTAAGAGTTCTAGAGTTTCTTACCGTTGAGATATAAATTCAAGAAGTGTTCATCTAAGTTCAACAGTACACCAATATTGGCGTGAGTCAGCTCTTTAGAGGACTTCTTTGTCTGAACTCGGTTTTTGGTATTTGAACACGAAGCGTTGGGGTGTTCATTAATCTGTACAGCGTAAGAATCGGAATCCTCTCCTAATATTGGATCTTCGATCACCTTACGAGCGACCCCTACACCTGTGGGAAAGCAAAAGAAAATCTGTTTTGTTGTCCAATAACTATATATAACTTGCGTAGTTCATTCCGAGTTTTGGTATTGGTTTGACGACACTCAATGGAAAACCGCCCTATAACTGGCATTTTCAGGGATAGTTTTAAAACGCTCTACCAGTTGCTAAGATGTCACGTTGCGGACGACTCCTGTCCATAGATATTGCGTGACGAAACCCCAAAGGAAGTTGCTCTTAGAAGGCTACACTCACCAATAATGGAAAGCTTATTGTGAGAGTTAAATTCATCCACGTGAACCCTCCAGTAATGGCATGCAGATGACAGCTTTACGTTGCCCAAAATGAATGTGTACATGGGACTCTTCAGGCTCACAGTGCAGTTTTCGTTCGTCAATTCCAGGTCGTGATTCGCTGATGATGGATCCAGTTGAAAGTACAGCCCTGGTGAAAATTGCGGTTAAAAAACCTAGTCATTAGTTCGATTTACAACACAAGAAAACCTTTTCGTTAGTTTCTTCGTTCTCCTTCCCTCCCAGTCTTTTAAAATTAAGCTTAGAAATATACTTGGAAGAACTCTTCGTTTAATCATCTAAAATCGAAGAGGTCTGTTTGAATGAGAGCACGTTTTACACCACGATAGGGACACTAATATATAAACTGGTGACGTAGTTCTGAAGAGATCCCTGGAGTGTATGTGATTAGCCGTTTCTTTTGCGCGAAAATTCAAAAACTGATTGAGAACCAATCATAGACGCTACACTTATCTGTGTAGACTGACGTCATCAGTCTGTATTTCAGACTTCTCTCGAGCAGGTGAAGAAGTAAGCGGAGAAACTAAGATGTGTTTTTGTCAAGGCTAGTAAACTAACCACCCTTCTAGTAATCACTGTTTTTATAGGGTTATGTACTACACAAAAACTACCTTTCGGTGTCGATAGAACAAGTTCCTCGCTCGGTGTTCCCTCGCCAGTAGGGTTTACACCGTACACGCGTGTGATGATATTGACACTGTAAGGCACGCTGTACAACGCGTACTCTCGCGCGGGTCCCTCGTACAGTCGCTTGAACTTGCGGTCTTTCTTCCTTCGAATTGCATACTCTGAACTCTTCACCATGTCTACCTCAAGCACAAAGTAGTCTACGCAGCATTTTGTTTCAGGCGCGAACCAGCCAAGCACCACTGTGGTATTGTTTACTTTACATCTTGCTTTATTGAATGCCGGGGGGTCTACGAAGAGAAAATGATTATTAATATTTTTCATTTATTTATAATGTATTAATTATCTAAGTGGACCGGAGCATTAATTTTGTTAGTCTCCTATGCAGACTCTCCTAGTGCTCGTCACGCAACCCCCCCCCCCCCTCCCCTCCCCCCCCCCCCCCCCCAAAAAGGCAGGAGGTGGGGAGGAGGTTGGATGTCCTAATTTTGATGTATTTGATGATGACACTTGGTAAGCTTGCCTTGATGAACTTATCTCATTTTTTCGAGTTCATAACTAGTTGANCCCCCCCCCTCCCCGCCCCCTCTCACGAAATTAGGGTTAGGTTCAGTGTTAGTTCGTTACCCTAATAGTTCGTCGGGAGGAAGATTGCGTGACAAGCCCTAAGAGAATCTGCATAGGTTGGTTTATCAGTAATTTGGACATACAATGTGTTTTTGAAAGACTTTCCAGTCTCATTTTCTTAGCCTGTTCCAGGCTCTCCTCCAGAATTTTTTCTCTCGCTTGCCCTTATTTTCGCTCGTTCCCAACCACCGAGAGCCTGGAACAGGCTACATTTTTCTTTGCAAATGTTCAAATGAAATAACTTTTCTACCTGGTGCTGAAGGCGTAGCTATTCCAGTTACCATACTCATCTCCACCTTGGTCCCATAAAGACACAATCCCGCACATAACTCTCCGCTCAGCCCCTTGAAACTAGGGCCCTTTGGGCGACTGATGTCCGTCTGAAGCTCCCCATCAAGGTAAATGTTTAGGAACTGTTTGTTCAGATCCAGAAAAACACCAAAGCTGCTCTCTTTCAAGTCCTTAGCTTTTCTTTTGATCTGAATTTTATGTTTGGAGTTTTCAGTGCGGGCTGTCGTGCCTTCGAACACTTGCAGCGCGTATGAGCTGGATATGTTTCCCAGAATGGAATCCCGTGTAATTTTTTTGGCAACTCCTGTAAAAATACGCATAAAATATTATTTACAAGGGCATCTTTCCTCTTTTGCTTACTACTGTATCACTTTTTTTCCATTTCAATAGATTTATTTAATTTTTTTATTTCTACATACAGTTATAACCCCATTTACAGTCACACTTGACAATAAATGATAAATATAATATCGTTACATGTTTTCCCGCGCTTACAACTTGTTACAACTTCTCCGAACTCACCACGTGTAACATGTTTTCTGACGCTCACCGCGTGTACATGTTTCCCGCGCTCACCGCGTGTTAAAAGATTTCCCGCGCTTTCCATATGTTACACGTTTTCCCGCGCTTATCACTTGCGACATATTTTCCCGCGCTTGAAAGCTGCTGGGCGTTCCTGCTTTGAGTTTCGTTGTACAAATTTGCAGCCTTTGTAAGCGGCTAAATGATATTAAGGTTTCATTTTACCACGGTCATTTAGAAAACCACGCGTCAATAACTTACCTACAGCAAGGAAAGAATTTTCTCCTTTAAAGTTATCGATGTTGATGGTCCAAAAGTGACAACCGTCAGCAAGGAATGCTGTTCCAAACACATTGCCATGTACCATGGTGGTCTGTTTTACTGTTAGATGATCTCCAGAGAGGCGTAGAGATTCGTGCAGTGATTCTTTGTCCAGTTTGAAAATAACACCTAAGAATAAAGTGTTAGTGGAATTATAAACTGCACAGTACACAAGTAAGACTTTTAAAACGAGAGCCAACGAGCCAAAGCGAACACCAGAATGGAGATGCTAAGTGATACCAAACGGAGATGGGTATGTTTTCTCTCTCGTATTTGTGGGATAGAGATTTATTTAAATCCGAGTACCTTTCTCGGTGGAAAGCGATATTTCATCACTCGGTTCACTTTCTCCAGCGGTATTCAACGCCTTGACACGCGCGAGGACTGTAACATTGTACTCCAGTCCCCTAAGTGTGTATTTGGTGCGCGGTCCTTGATACACCTTGGTAAAGTTACGCTCCTGGTGGATGTCCCCCTCCCGGTCCAGTGTGTCTATCTCTACAATGTAACAGTCCACGTTGCAGTTTTCCGGAGGAGACCACACTAGGTTGATCTTGGTGTTCTCGACGCTGCATTCTTCGAGATGGATTATAGGAGGATCTGGAAAACAAAAAAAAAATAAGAGCGGAAACAGAATGTTTTTCGCAATTCGTGACATCGAATACCAAGGTGGGAAAACGTTACATAATTAGCAGCATTCCAAAATGAAATAAAACAACTAAATACGTAAATGAATACAGTAATTGGCAGTAGCATATCTCGCAGTGGATCTTCAACCACTGTTTAGAAGTGTTGGTTTTTGTAAAGGGAAGAAACTCGAAAAACCCGAAAGAAAACGCTTCTTTGGATCGAAGAAGAGAACGAACAACAACTTGAAATTGTGTTTAACCGAGCACTCTCACCACTGCATCATTAGTATTTGACCGACCTAGTCGTGCAACACGCATTTTAAAACATTTGGAGACAGAATCTTTCAAGTTCGTCCTTCGAAACCCGCCTTAGTCACACTCAATAATGTTTTTATGTTTCACCCATATCTTACCGGAGCATGTGGTTGGTCTTTCCAGTCCAGTCTGTAAACTCAACTGCACACAACCTCCAAACATACTAAAGGCCGGCCGAATAGGGCCAACCACGCCCACCATCGAAGGTCCCCCGGGACGACTGTCGTCTGTCTGTAGCTTGCCATTCCAGTATATGTTCATGATTTGATTTTCTAAGTCGAGTAGCACCGCTACATTGTTTCCTTTGATGTCCTTTGCTTTCTGTTTGATCTGGAGCCTGTTGTGGGAATTTTCGCACCACAGCGAGGTGTTCTCAAAAATTTGCAGCGCAAAAGAGTTTGCGTCATTTCCTGGGAAATATAATGGACAGGAGTTAATAATGAAATAGCCATGACCAACAAAATACAAGAGCAGAACATTTTGGTTAATTTCATAATGAAGCATTGCGAGAAATTGAAGAACTTGACACCATCTTGTTAAAATTAACAATGAACTTTTGACGTTGGCTCAACGTCACTATTAAGTCAAAGCACGCAAATAAAAATGTGAACGAATTCGAAGAAAACAGAGATAAAAAATAAAGTACAATGAAACGTTTGCATGCAAAAGAGTTATTTACTCAAACTACTCAATTCCTGCCAAACATTTTTACGCGACTCCTCTGCATGCGAATATTTTATTCTTTCTTTTATTTTATTATTTTATTGCATCTTATCATACCTATAGGTCGACCATCATCCACCTCTTTTGCAACACCAATGGCAACGAACCCGTTATTACTTGCTCCGGTAAACTGGTCAATCCTGACTTTCCAGTAATGACAACCATTTGACAAAGTCACGCGGGACATAACACTAGCGATGGCTGGACTCGTCAGCTTGGCCACGGATAGATCACGTGAGAAAACCAGCTCCCGTTTGGGACACGTAGAGGGGTCCAGTGTGAAATGCAGTCCTGAAAATGAAATGGAAAATTGTTGGGCACAGGTCATGGTAAAATGAAAGGTTAGATCTTCATTTTGGTCTATTCAGCTAGAGCGTGCCCCGGTTTATTAGTGAAAGGTTAGGTCTTTGGCTGAAGCGTACCCTGGTTTCCTTTTGCTGTGGTACTTAATGAGGATTATTGCTTTTCCCCTGGACTGAGATGCTTGTCCATTAAAAATATACCTTCCCCCTCCTCCTCTGGATATTATTCAGGTTGTTCTAACAAATTTTCATTACCAATTGATACTCCTGCGCAGAAAGGGGCGCTGTGAGAGTATAGAGGCTTGCCCCAAGAACACAAAGCAATGACCCCGGCCAAAGCTCAAACGCGGAGTGCTCTATCTGGAATTTTATTATCGCGCTAATCACCAGGTTACCGCACCTAACATACTAGAATAAGAGGGAACATGGATGGTGTGAAATCTGTCTACCCTTCTCCGCGTAAATCGTGATGTCCTTGCTGAAAGGTCCTTTCCCGGCTCGGTTCGACGCACAGACCCTGGCAGTGACCCGCGCATTGTAATGAAGGCACTCCAGATTGTACTTGCAGGCTGTCCCAAGGGATACCTTCACAGTTTCACGTTGTTCTTTTTCGTTTGGGGCTTGTGTAGGCGTATAAATATTGGCCTCCAGATGATAGGCATCCACGGCGCTTGGAGGCGCATTCCAGACTAGCTGGATTGTCCGGTTTGTGGCCTTACATTGAGATGAGACGAAACTTGGGCTGTCTGAAGATTTAAAATTTTATTGTTAAAGGCGAGCTGCCCTGGTCCGTTTGTTGGATGTCATCGACAATAAATACAGAGAAATGTCCCGTGAATTATCGCTTGAAAGCGTTACCATTTTAACAAAAGGATAAAAAAAAAACAACGGTTTCTTAGTAACTAATTTTAACAACAGTTTAGACCATTTCCCCAAATCTTTATTGGAATATATTTCTTCTCATGGTACCGAAAAAAGCAAAAACAAACAGTTAAGTCGACTTCATTGGCCAATTCAAGTCACGAGTTGTCTCACAGAGCCTTTGATTTGAGGCGGTGTTGCGGTCCCTGCAACAAATGTGAAAAAACCGTCTTATGCTTAGCTATTTCGCTATCTCATTTATCATAGTTTAAGGTCCTCTTTTCGTCAAGGATTTAAAACTGGCGAGTGAGGAGGGGAGGGGACTGGTTGGTCCTTTGCTAAAAGCAAAGTCTCCATCCCCACCGCTGACAAAACACTTACCCGGTATTTGAAGCCACGTGACTTTCTTGAGCACCTTCCTTTCCCATGACGTGTCAACCGCCATGTGATCAAAGGTTGGAGTAATGGAGGAGGCAGAGGGAAGACTTCTGATTGTTTCGAGCATGAGATTCAACCTGAAATTAGAGCAAGGAACAATCAACTCGGGGATAAATTAACTTCTTCGATCGGAAACCCGTTTTCTGAAAATTGAAAAGCATGAGAGCATGAGATCGTTTGATTGGTCGATATCGGCCGCGGAAAACCTTTCGGTGTGTTCACGAGGTTTTAACGAAAAACGTGAAATGCTTCAACTAAGTAATGAATAAGATTTTATATTAACGTTTACACGGTTTACGGCAGACACAATGTGAAAAAAAGACGTTTCAAGTAGATTTCTCAAACTTATTGATAATTCATCAAGTTTAAACAAAGGAAAACATGGCGGTGACGATGTTTGAATACCTGATCTTAATTAGCGTAGATGTTTACGAGGATATTTCTCCGTTTTCTCCTCAGTTTTAGAAAAGATACATCAATTCCAAACACTCAAGACAGCGTTTGACCACATATCCAAACATCTCGGAGTTCGTCAAAAATACCCCGCTGCGCGTCGAATTTTTAACTATCTTCTCATTGTTTGGAAATGTGGTCAAACGCTGGCTTTCTTGTTTGATATATTACTTACCTTGTCTTCAGAGCGCTGGCAGTCTAGAAGAAAGAAAAAAAATTCATCTGTTAAAGCGATTACTTACATCTCCCAACTCTATGTGACTTTGATATGGTCGTTCTAAACAACCATAGAAAAGATGATTTTAGTATAGCTAGTTACACCGATTTAACAGTCATACTTAATCTAGCGATACATTTATTTTGCCGTCTTGCGAGGCCTCCCTTGTTCCTGATACACATGTTATGTATGCCGTCACTGAACTTCTTGTTAAACCGGCTTGCTAAATCTCAAGCGCATTCACACTGGTATGTACTGTACAAGTCACACTTACCTGAAGGAAAGTAGCAGGGTTATCTTCTTTAAGAGCTTCTTGTGTGAATTCAGCTAAGCCGTCGCCTTGTAACAACACGTGTTCACACTGGTGCATAGCGTCGTTCAGTTCTGCTAGTTTCTCTTGATATTCATCACTGACTCGTTTGAGTAACTCCACTTTCTTCTTTTCCACGATGGAAAGTAAGGAATCGCACTCCCTTTTAACATGAGCCTCCACGTCACAGCCAGACTTCTGAAAATTCATCAGAAATACAGAGTTTAAATTGTTTTATTTTTCCTGCCTTCTAATTACGAACCGTGGAGGTGCGGTGGCGTCATGGTTAGTGCGCTCGTCTCGGAATCGAGCGGTCCAAGCTCGAGCCCAGCCCGGGGACATTTTATTGTGTCCTTGGCCAAGGCATTAAACTCTCACAGTGCCTCCCTCCACCCAGGTGTATAAATGGGTACCGGCGAATTTAATGCCGGGGCAACCCTGCAATGGACCAGCATCCTATCCAGGGAGGAGTAGAAATACTCCTAGTCGCTTCATGCTACAGAAACCGGGATAAGCTCCAGCCTGATGGGCCACTTGGCTCGTATACAGACTTTACCTTCTTTTACCTAACTACGAACCAAGTTATGAGACTTCTACGCTCGCGCGCTCAATTCTTCTCTCACAGGATTCGAATAAACCACATTCCTTTGTAACGACTTCAGAGATCCGCGTCTCTGATTGGTTGTTACTTGCGCGCAAAAATTCAAAACTGACTAACAACCAATCAGAGACTTATTATATTTAATAGACGAATCTCTGTACAGTAACGTCATTAGAATGGAATTTTTCCGGTCGAATTTGAGACTTCTCTCTCTAGGCTCTTTTAAGTCTGATTTGCTCCTCGACAAGCGGAAACTGAGACCTTTGGTTCTGCTACATGCCAGCTCACCTTAGCAATGGTGCACATCCCCTCTAAGGATTGAAGCGTCTTTTGAACGTGGTAATTCTTTCTTGTTAGAGTGCCTAATGTTCGCGCCAGTTCCTCCTAAAAATAAAAACACAATTTGAATAAAACAGTTCATTGTATATAAGGTTAGCGTTTACCTCAAAAACGCCGTTTAAAAAACTATATTAACGGTGAGGTAATGCAAACTTGCATTTCCAATAAACGTTTCCGTTATGTGAATCACTTCCAGGTTTAACCAATTAAATAGCTCCTTTTATACTTGCTAAGGTAAAGATTGTTTTGCGGTTTTGTCTCCGTTTGAAAGATTAGCCGGAAAAATTGTTTTTTCGTGAGCATATTACAAAATCCTTGTACGTCTTATGTGTGAAAACTAGTCGTTTTGTTTTTCTTCGCGTCTTTTCACCTAACAGTTGCTTTTGTTCGAAATCTGGCCAGGTAAACCGTGTTTTACTCACTTTTGTGTTCTTAAAAACTGGCTCCAACAGTTCAACTTGATGTCCCTTATGATGGCCGTACTCCTTACAAAGGTAACATACGGGAACCTTGCAGTCAAAGCAGTACAGTGCAAGCTTCTCTTCTTTATGCTGCTGGCATTGCATGCTGGTCTCTTTACGCTTTTGAGGCCTTGCTACTGCGGGCCCTATGGTATGGTCCGCCAAAGGGCCCTTACTGGGATGACATGCGTCGAAACAGGTCCCACAGTACAGAAAGGCACACTCATTGCAAGACAAAGTGGCCTTTTGTGGTGAGTAGTCCTCGCAGAATTGACATAGGAGAGGTTCCTCTGGAGCTTGACCTGTAATGCAGGGAGGCCGAGGGTTATAAGTCAGTCTTGAGGAAAACTTTTGGCCGGACCCTGATCCAACGCTACAGGAATGAGCCCCGTACGGGGTCATTGTTTGTGTTGTTGAACAAGACTCTCCGAGTGCTTTTCCAGCGAATTGGACGGGAAGGGGCGGGAGAGGGTACTCTGAAATGAATTTGCGTGCCTTCCGGGGGGAATCGAACCTAAGATAAGCAGAGTCGGCCTGACGGGCTACTAACCACGGGTGGAGAATTCAATAAAGTCTACAGCAACCCGATACGCCCATACTCGAAAATACTAGTCGGCCTTGGTCATTGGGTATTTAATTAAGAGGGAGGAAAAGCGGCCGTATGATCGACTCGAATGAGTACAAATGAAGACAACGTTATGTATATACCAATGCCCCGCTAATGAAGCATTGTGACAACGTCTCACAATGACACAACGTCCCAGGGACGAGGTTACGCAACCCATGATAAATACATTTCTTTTCAAGGAAAGATTCTCTGCTCAGCAAAAGAAAATCGTATATTATTACCATCGTGGTTAATTACATAATGTGTTTGAGATCATCTAAAAAGATACCCTTGAACATGAAATCTCCACCCTACAATCTTACAACCTTTTGCTCATAGAGAGAAAAATCCCGTTCATTTCAAAAGGAAGGAGGGCAAATCCAATTGGATTTTCTCGTTTTCGAGACGCTCATTAACGTGAAGTTTTCAATAAAATAAAACTCACTTCGGTGTTACAAATAAATAATTAAAATGAAAGTATAAAACTTGAGTTTCTAAAAGCTTGTTAATGATCTCACTAAAATATTTTGAAAGCTTTTATCTTTCTTTCAGCTCTGGCTCTTCTTTTTCAAAATAGCAAGGTACATTTATAAATGATTGCGTTCTTTCCAGCTCATCCAAATAATTGAAATTGATGAAGAATTAGTGAACTTTATTTCGTAAATATTGCAATCTTAGTGTATTAAATTTTAAATACCCGAACCGGAGTGTTTGATTGATACAAAGCAAAATATACCCCTTTTAAAATAATACAACCAGGTAAACCGTTAAGATGTGAAAACAAGTATTTTTCCTATTTTATACATACCTGGCGGTCTTCTTTCCTCCTTGAAACGTTCAATTACATTTTCCAAGATCAAATTCCGCGGCAGTCCGTCTACTCCGCGAGGATCAAACGGAATTTTTCGCCGACAAGTCGGGCATTTAACATCAGGATCCAAATGCGACTTGTAATCTGCGCTTCTATTTTCCTTCACCCATTTAGCCCAAACTTTCGGCGCTCCGTTGGGTTCCAAGATTTTCCGCGCGCATGGTGTGCAAAGGTTATGGGAACATGGAAGAACTATTGGTCTTTGAAAAAGATCCAGACACACAGGACATGTTAGTTCTACCTCCATCACTGGAGACAAATGGTTATGTGCATGTTGCGGTGTATATTGTTTTAAGGCGAGATAGTAACCTTGGTAGCACGCGGGGCTTGACCCATCGAGAAACGCGCGTGCCGCGCGCATACGTACACACGCGTGTTGTTATTGGGCAACATATTTTGACCACGTTTTAGACTCATTGGTCTTCAGAAAACACAACAGACAAATTGCGACTGTTAAGTCTAAGTAAGGTGAATTTAAACTAATGACCAGATTTTGAATGCAAAGATTTTACGGGTTGGGCCAGAACTCCGTTTAGTTTGCCGGGCTGAAAACGTTAATAGAAAAAAATAATAATAACAATAACAAAAAAAAAGTACTAAACTAAATAAAACGTCAAGCTCCAACGTGATTTCTTCCTCTTTTGTTCATAGAAGTGTATCTGAGACACATTTTACCGGCTTCACTTTTGCCGCCCAGAACTATACATTTCTTTTCACTTTGGATCGAGGGACAATCTGACAGCCTTCTCGCAGGTTACCGAACAACCCTTTGGTGAAAGACATCCGTATAGAAAGGGACACATTTGCATCTAAATTTGTCAACTTTGTCTAGGGAAAGGTCAGTTTGTGGATGAAAACAGGGAGCGAATATTTTCACTAGGGTTGGGCCTGACGGGAATCAAGTCAAAGAAATCTCCTCATATTATAGCTAGAACAGGCGACCAGCTAGAAGGCATCGAGCGCCGAGTGTACACACGACTGAAATAAAATTAATTAATTAATAAATGATATTAAAAGGAGTTCGAGGGTCGTTATTTTTGTGTAAACAGGCTGTTGAGATTACTGAGCACGTGTCTTACATGAAAGGGACACTTCAAGGGACACTGAAAGGGGGAACTAAAACTATTAAAACTAACTGTAAAAGCAGTCTTTGCCCAGCCATTAATTCGTGAACTGTGCTCTCTTATTTTATTGTCACCCATAAGGTTTCCTTAGCAGACTCACTTAGCGGGTAATGAATGTAAATGTACAATTGTCTGCGGTTAATAAAGAGTTTGTTTCCTTTTGTTTCTCCATCAAAAGCGCGCACGCCACCTTTGTTATGTTAATAGCTGGCACGTGTATCACATTGAATTGTTGTTCAATCAAATTAAATTTATCCTTGTGTGCGGCATTCAAATTTCACCTTGCTGTCTTACAAGGGTAAATTTATTTCTGAAAATAAAAGCTTACACCGAGAAAATATTGACACAAACATATGAAAAGTATATGAAAACGTAGTTACTAAGATCACAGGTTAGACTAACATCTGCATAAATTCGCTCGCTTCGGAAAATCAACAGACCCTGACGCTAGAATTGAGGGAACAATTATATATTTTTCGCCCAGGTTTAGGGATCAATGGCGGTGGTTTTTCCTTATTTCAAATGCAGCTGGATCAAGTCAATAACGCAAGCAGTAGCCAATCAAGATGCCCGTCTATATATATCAGCCAACCAGCAGCGCTAGATTGACACGTGCTAATTTGGCGCTAATTGTTCGTGTATGAAAAAACCAAACAAAGTTTTTGACACATCTCTCGCGGCGCGAAACGTGTTGCTCGGCGCAGCGCGGGAGACAAATTTCCGCCGAAAGAAATGGAGGCAGAATTGACCTGTCCCGTTTGTAACAAGCCCTTTGTAAACCCTGTCGTTCTACCTTGTTCTCACAGCGTTTGCTTGACTTGTTCGCAGTCCGCCTTGACGACGAGCGGTGCGGATAATCCTCCGGTAAGTTCGAATGGAAGCGGTCAAGTGGAGTCAGAAGAAACGCCGTACGTTACTTTGTACGACATGAACCATTTGTACCAAAGCATTGGAAATTTGCCTTGTTTGAAATGTCCGACATGTAAGAAGCTTTTCCCTCTGGACGGTCGAGGGGTCAATGGATTTCCCCGCAACCGCCTCTTGGAAAATATTGTCAATCGCTATTATGCACAATCAAATGGAATTGTTTATTGTCAACTTTGCGAAGAAAACCAACCTAGCCAAGCCACAGTGATGTGCGAGCAATGCGAAGTGGCGTACTGTGATCGCTGCTGTAAAACTTGTCATCCAAGCCGCGGGCCTTTGGCGAAGCACTCGCTGATTCCTCCCACAAGCTCCAAATCGCCCAGCAAGCCGACGGTTGTGAAATGCAGTAGCCACAGCGAAGAAAACATCAGCATGTATTGCGTGTTTTGCCGTGTTCCCGTGTGTTATGTGTGTTTAGAGCGAGGACAGCATTCTGGACATGAAGTCAAGGCTTTGGGTGCGATGTTTAAAGAGCAAAAGGTATGGAACACGTAAATTTGCATTTATTTTCCCGTCTACCAATGTGACTCTTCACTTGCAAGTTCACTTCATCGACTTCGTTAAGGAGTGGACGAATGACTGGGAAAATTACACCTGTAATTTGACTTTTATTTTTGCCCGTTTTCTTAACAAAAATTCTTTTAGATCATTGATATTTTACTAAAAATACATTTCTGTTTTTTTTTTTTTTTCTGGTCCCTGGCTTTCCTGACCTAGGGATGCTTTTATCTCTCGGAGGAAGATTCAAGAGTAGATGCAAATTTCATTGTCAACTGAATATTTAATTTTTGTGCTGCCGAAGTCAAAATGTGGAATATCTCGATGAAATAATCTTTTGAACTGAGATTTATGTCTACCCTTTTCTGTTCAGAAATATTCAAGAGTGTGTTCCCCCCAAATAAAAAGAAAAAATAGTTTTTGAAGAAAAAAGAATATTATTCCAGGATTAAAATATATTTTAAAAACACAGTTCAATTTTTAGCATTTTGTACAAGCCAGACAAACATTCGAAAATTCCTTGCCTTATATGACCTTTGTTTTTCACTATTGATCTTGCTCCAAGCATAATTTTCATGGTGCAAATGTCATCAATAATTTTATTGTTAGATTGAAATGTGATATTTATATTTTAACTTGGTTGGATTAATCATTTCTCCAAGAAGGCCATATTGAATTTTTGAATTTATTTTTTATGACTTTTGCTTTTGTTGGCATGATTTGCTTGCTGTGACATTATATCATTGAATTGAATAATTTTGTATACAACTGTTTTGACAATATTGTTTTGATTTTTGATTTTCAAAAAGAACCACTTGCAATAAGAAATGAGAAATTTCTGCTTCTCCTTTATACACTGTACCACCCACCCCCTCAGTCATTAACCCTACCCTACCCCTCACCAGAATCCTATATCAATCCCCCACCATTTATGACTGTGGTATGTTTTGATGGAAACTGTTGTTTTCCATGTTCAGGTTGAACTCTCAGCTAATATGAAGTTACTGAATGCCAAAAATACTGAATTGCAAAGCTTTATTCAACGTCTTAATGGAAACTGCTCAATAATCCAGGTAAGAATATTAATTATTGTGCTGATCCACTCTTCATTTTTTAATCTTCAGACATCATGTAGTTAAACTTTCGGATCATGTGTACTAAAGGCATCTGCCGTCTAGTGTCAATTGATACCCTCCATCAACCCTCAATCAATACTTGGTTGACACTTGATCAACACTCAGTCGATAGTTGGCCACACTCGATCAACAGTCAGTCGATAGTTGGCCAAGTGTTGACGGACTCATATGTACTGATCAAAAATTAGTTGACTCTTGACTGACTGTCAACCAAGATGTCAATGGAGTGCTGAATGAGTTTCAACTGAGGTGTCAATAAAGTGTCAATTGGGTATCAATTGAGGAACACTCGATTGCAGATGCTGTACACGAGATCCAACTCTCTTGTTTATTTTCTATCCATCCAATTTTCAAATCATTAACCCTCAGAAACTGTATGTTTTCCTTTATAACAGGAAAATGGTTTAGAATTTGAGGCCAGTGTTGTAGCACAGTGTGATGCATTGATTAGCATCATACAGCAACGTAAAGTGGAGTTGATTGAAGCCATCACAACAGAGATGAATTTGAAGATTCAGAAAGTTAAAGAACAAGTGAAGACCTGTGACAAAAAGTTTCATAGTGTTACTGGGTTGCTCCAGTATGCTAACGAATGTTTACAAGGAACAGATGCTGCGTCCTTCTTGTTGGTAAGTGTTTAAGCTTACATTCTTGTGAGTAATGATGGTTTTACATCCTGTTACCATATACAGATCCAGAAAATGTCCACACCCATTCGAGAGGAAAGTTGAAGGCTGAACTGGAATTTCTGGAGTGATTAGGTAGGGGGGGGGNGGGGGTCAAATGGAAAACACTTCTGTGGGGATAGGGTATGGATATTCTCTGGAGCTTGTACCACACCTCAACCCCAGCCAGCACTTGCTAGAACCTTGGGTTGTACCCAATCTCGAATTGAAGATGTTAATGCTTGGAACACCACATCTCCCACTTAAAAATAAGAGAGCATTGGCATAGGTTAAGTCTGTGTTGGACTAAGTGGTCCATGCTGCCAGAGCTTATCATGGTTTCTATAGCACTACTATAAGTGACTGGAAATATTCCTACTCCCTCCTGGATGTGATGCTAGTCCATCACGGGGTTACCGCCCAGTAGTTTGCACACAACCATTTATACACCACTAGGTGGAGAGATGCACTATTAGGGCTCAAAAAGCAACCCCTTGATCTGGACTGCAGTGTGCTAACCAAAAGAAGTGCCCCATGCCTGACCCCCAGGAAAATTTGGAAAGCTTACAGTGATTGGAATATACCAGTTCATTCTCTAATTGTTTCTCTTTTTCAGGTTGCAAACTCTCTAAATGCAAGGTTAGTTAATGCCTTTTTATGCAAAAAGAAATGCAGTGCAAGAATAAGTAAATTTATTAATTAGAGTTATATAATAGTCAAAGAATTTTATGAGATTGCTGACAAAACTACATTATTTATGACAGTGATTAAATTGTATCTCTCTACCTATTTGGTCAGTTGTTAGATGAATTAAGAAACTTGTCAACCCAGGAAGTTAAAGAGCTTGACTTCAAGCCAAAATCCCTTTAATGATAATTCTGATGGCACTGTTGGGAAAATGATAGCTGTTTGTTCTTCTTGCACTAGAATTGTAAGCCTTGTTAATCAGTGGTCAAAAGAAGTGACATTGGAGCCGACTACAGGCTTGGAACTGGATCTGACACTGGACACGTCAGCTGCAAGACAGGCTCTTCATGATTTGCACTTTGTAGAGTTAAAAGGTTAGTTCACTGTGTGGTACATCATACAGTAATTAACTTGCATTGCAGTGCTGTTGCAAATGGTACTTCAAAAACCTTGGATCTTGCAAGGTTTCGTCAATTTTCATGGGAATTGAAGTCTTGTTTTTCTAGTAGTTATATGCATCTAGCAGACTGGATTTTTTCACAAAACTGTCTTGGAGTTTCATTGCTTTTCCAGCTGAAAATTTGTGGAAACATTTTAAGTCATTAACAGGCAACTTTTTTATGGATGAAAGAGCCAGACATGACAATTGAATTCCTGGAATTGATTACTGCTGCAATAATTTTACTTACAACTTGTAGCAATTGAGAAAGTTTAAGTTCATTTAAAGTTTGTTTTCACAGCTCCAGTTGCTCCAGAAATTGTTCCAGATGAATGCACGGTCACAAACAATGCCATCACTTTGTCATGGAAACCACGTAAACAAAGTTGTGTTGATGGTTATGTGGTGGAGGTTGACGATGGCACTTCTAGTGGCAAAGAGGACAACTTTCTGGAAGTGTACAGAGGAAACTGTTTGGAGTGCACTGTGTCAGGTCTCCAGTTTAACTCGACATACAGAGCAAGGGTTAAGGGGTTCAACAAGGCTGGTGAAGGTGTGCCGAGTGATGAGGTCTACCTCACAACATCTGATGGTAAGCAAAACACAGGTGTAAGTCTATTCAATCCCATAAAGGATTCTTTTCAACTAACAGTAACTGTTATGATGCCATTGTCGTCTTATTGTCATTCCTATGATCATCTTCAAAACTGCCACCACCATTATCATCATCATCATTGCCAATCATTGCTGTCATCGTCTTCATCATCATCGTTAGCAGTGCCCATAATGACCTTTGTCATGTTTATCAGTAGCTTATTTTGCCATGTATACCTGTTGCAGTTGCATGGTTTGCTTTGGATCCAGTCACCGCCCATCCAGACATAGTCCTGACCAATGACAACACAACAACAACCTGTACCAGCTTTGATGATAGAGTTGTGCTTGGTAACATAGGCTTCTCACGTGGCTGCCACTATTGGGAAGTCACCATAGATCGTTATGATGGCAACCCAGATCCTGCAGTCGGTGTTGCATTAGGTAGCACTATCAAGGATTCCATTCTGGGCAAAGATGACAAGGCCTGGTGTATGTACATCGACAGCAGTCGCAGTTGGTTTCGCCATAATAACGAGCATTCCAATCGCCGTGACGGAGGGGTTGAGGTGGGGTCTGTTATTGGAGTGTTGCTTGACATACCTAATCACAAAGTGACCTTTTATTTAAACGATCAGAAAAGAGGCCTCATGCGACTGCCTGATATTCCAGAAGCCTTTTATGCTGCGTTCAGTTTAAGCCGTAATGTACAAATTACTCTGCACACTGGACTTGAACCTCCAGAGGAGGCATATAATACCAGCAAGTAACACATGAAAGAGAGTGAGAGAGAATAGATGTTCTCATTTGGGTATCATAATTAATTATGCAGTATTTATTCGGGTGATATATTTTGCTAAAGTCAGATTCGTTTGTGTTATACAAAAACCAGTTCATTGCAAGCTGGAGAAATAGATTACTAAGTAGTTATTTAAAATTAGATTTTTTATATATTGAATGCAAAGATTTTGTTGATTTGATTGATTTTATTACAAAAAGTTTTATCTTTGGAATTGAAAATTGTTGCATTTCCCCCCTCTTTTTTACGTAATTCTTAATATTATGGTTGTCATTTCTTGTTGATTTTTATCATATGTTGTAATTATAACTGTTTAAAAAAACTTATTAAATATTTTGTAAGTTGACTATTAAGAGTATAGCCTGATGGTGATTGGCTCATAGAAGAACTAAGCTTGAACTTGGTTCAACGTGGTCAAACTGATCAGCTTTGCCAGTAATATTTATTGCAATGGTTGATTTATTATTGTACCCATGGTACACCTGTTCAGTCTCTAAGTGTTACCAATTTATGGTCAAAGTAGGAAAAATCAACCTCTAGTGGTATTGAAAATATAATGCCACTTCTAGTGGTGCCAATAACTTAGAATGTATTACAATAATAATAGCTATGATATCAACTATAGTATTATAATACATGTGCTAATGCACATAGAGTTACGAGATTCAACAGTGGTCTTCGGTGATCTTCTGTTTTTATCTTTGAGTTTTCAGTCTTCAATGTGATGATGAGCAAAATCTTGGGGTTGTACATGATTGGCTAATAATTTATAGGTGTAAGAAAATGAGAGGTGATGAATTGTTGGAAAATAGATTTAGGACTTTTTTTTCAGTTTTGACTACTGCACATTCTGCTTGTTGTTACATTGAAGATTATGGATTTAAAGAGGAAACATTAGAAGTTCATTTTAATACATTTGATCTGACGTTTGTCAGAGCACAATGTGATACCAGATATCAAATTGAACCGAAAACAGTCTACAAGGCCATGATAGAATATATTGTGTTGAAATACATGTATATTGTGTCCCAGTGGACTTGTAAAAAAGACAGTAATAAATAACTGAATTAGTTAGTTGTTAACAATATTGTTAATAGTAATATAAGTGCAATGAAAAGAATAGTAGCTCAAACTATTATACTAACAGTGGTTAAAGCCAAAACAAATATAACTAAAAACATAACTGGGTTACTGTTCTCTCAATGTCAGTTGTAGAAAGGTAACTGTAATTCAGGCTCCAGACCACAATAAATTATATAGGTTATTGATAGTTAATTTTCCACTTGACTCACTGAGAGATGAGAAGAAAATTTAACTCATTGCAACAACGTTTCGTGAACTTTGTAATGATTTTGTAATTTTTTTTAGTGAATAAGTTGATTTGGGTTCAGTTATATAATATTATGCAATGATCTGGACAACAGCTTATTGTATTTTGTTTTTCAAGAGTTTGTACAAAGTTTGGGTTTCTGTTTTAAAGATCTTCAGCATTTTCCATGACTCCTGATTTTGAAAGAAAGGGGTGAATCATTGTGTCTGGCTTAAAAATTTTGCCCTTTATATATTTTCCTAGCACAATGACTGCTGACACCATTTAGGGAAACAAGTGTTGTTTTCACAAACCTTTGTTGGGCACTCATAAATTTTTTCATTTTTATCCAGTTGTAGCAACTGGTTATTCTGTTTACTGACATTTTTATTAACAAATTGACATTAGGTTTTCATGCGTCTGTCCTTGAACTTTGCCATAACAATGTCAAAGTGTCTGTGGATTGTCTTGTTGGATCCACAGACTACTTTGACAATGTTATGAAATTCATTGTCAATAACAGGACAGACGAATGAAAAACTGACGTCAATTTGTTTTTTTATGATAACAAATTGTCAACTTGTAAGCTCTCACTCGTTGCCACATTGCATAAATTGTAAATTCATGTGTCAGTTCGATTACTGACAATGAAAATTAGCCAATGAGTGCACAAGAGTTTCTGCAGTTACCAAAAAAATCTTATTTTGTTTTTATTGATTGGCTACTGTACTGTTAGAAGAGTTTTGTCATCTAAGTAAAATTCTTATCTTATTCTCCCCCAACAATTTGGGGTCAGGGAACTGGTTGACTGATGTAATGATAATTTATGAGTCCTGTTATTTTTTTAAAACAAAATAAATCATTCCATTGTGCTGCACATTGTTTGAGTCGTGATTCTATAAATGCAGTCATTTAAAAAAGGTTGTCTTAGAAAAGCATAAAGAGAATGCAACAGTGCCAAAAGGCATTATGGGCACTCACAGTTTACAGTTGGGCAACTGACGTTCACGGTCTTTCAGTGTGACAGAGGGAGAAAATCGGAATACGTGTATTTGTGGTTTCTCCTTCCTTTTTGCTGAAACACTGGACTTTGGTCAACCAGTTATAAAGTAAGCATTACCCATAATACATTTTGACATTATTGTATATGCTTTTACGCTTTTGTAGGACAAACGTTCTCAAAACATCACTGACATTTGAAAATAATATCCACCATGGGCTCTGTACATAACATATAAGGCATAAGCCACATGTACATGGCTTGTGCCTATTTAAGCCATTGGATCAGGTCAATCATATTGCCAGGTATATAATTTTTTAAACACCCAAATAAATAGCAGCCAATATTTTTCAACATGATGCATATATTGTCCAAGCATGTCCTTGCATTTTTAAGAATATAATTAATCAATAACATGTAAATCAACTTAAGACAAATAATTTAATACATTAGCTCCTAATGAAAGGAAATTCTACAACATTTGTTTTACACCAATACTATGTCCATTCAATAACTTAGTGTTGTACAATATTTAAGACCAAAATAGACAATTAATACTTTACATGTTTCTAAAGTCTAATGCAAACACCAGAGAAAGTTTAAGAAAAGGTTTTATGTATTAACTTTTACATTCTCCTCAAGTGTGTCCTCAGTTACATGTACATCAGGCTAGGAAATTTCAAACAAGTCAGGCTAACTTGGTTTCAATTTCTTACAACAAGAAAACCAAAAATTACTGTAAGGGTAGTCAAACTGTGAACACAACATTTTTTCGTACATTTTTAATGACTATGGAAAAAGGGTTCTTCATATTAACAAGATTATTCCGCGTTTTTACACTGGAATCATTAATCTTGTACATTGTATGAAGAGCCTTCACTCTGTAGTCACAGCTCAACTGTTTCAGCTGTAAGAAGTAAAAAACATTGTTTTCATGTTTCCGTCAAGTTATGTCCCCAGTATCTGGTATCACTCAATCTGTTTTGGAGACTAATAATATCAATTAAAATGAAGAAACATTCTATCACTCATTCATCAAGGTACTTTTAAAATGTTTAAAACACACACTAAAATGCATAATATATAGGAAAGTCATTTTTAACACAGAATTTATTTTGAGTTTAAAATAATACGTTAATAAAAACCCTTTTCATGTTACATTTCATTAGGGAATAAACTGAGAGAGAATTGACACATTTCTTATGAACCATGTATATTAAATTTAACTCATTGCACCTCATTTGAGTAAAAAAAATACCTGAAATCTTTGTTCAAGTGTCTGAAGTAGTTTTTTTGGTTTATTGTTTTCCATATTTGAGTCAGTCCCCAATTATCAGATAAGTAAATACTTCCTCCCCAAATTCATCCACTCCTTCATTCATTGAAATATGTATTATAAAGAAATTTTTAAAAGTTACGAAGACAATGCTTTTAAGAGGACTAATATCTGAACTTTGTAGTAACCAGTATTATTCAAGGATGCTGCTCACCACCAATTCATGCCTCAGATGGGGCAACAAATTCTGCTTCAATGAAACCCACCTCTAGAAGCTCCACCCCACCCATCTCCCCCCACCCCTCCCCCCTTTACATCACTCACACAAGCAAACAAGCTAAAATATTTAGCCTTGAAAATAGATGAAATAAAATATATCTCTGAAATATTGATTTGAAATAACAATAATACCTATGTCGAATGATTTTGAATGAGTTATGAACATATATTATTTTAATATATTACATAAAATACAGTGCAATTAATCTCAATTTCTTGAGCCACTCAGGAAATGAAACTTGCTCTGAGAAAACTGGATTTTGGAATGATAGGGTTAGAATTGCAGAAAAACAAATCCATGGTAAACAAATTTTGGTTTGAGTTCAATTGAGAAATTAACAAAATATTTGATGGTTCAAGAAATCGGGATTCCACTATATATCACCTTGAAGACTGCTATTATCTTTACCACTTTCAAGACACTACATATGTAAGTATAAATTATGTACGATCTAATTATATAATTATATTTCTGAACGATTGGGTAATTACAGAAAAAAAGTCCACATACCACTAACGGATGGTGTGCAGGAAAATCTCATAGGATGAAGAGTCCAAGACTCTGGAAATCCAGGTGGACTTCAGGTTGGTTGAAAAACATCATCTGATAAGGGTGTAAGGGAAGAGGAGGATATTTTTCTGGAAAAACCCAAGGAGGATTTTAAGATGCATTGAGTTCTCAGTGGTAGAATCTTTTACAAAGATAATTCTGTCCTTCTTCAAGCTTGAAGCCAAACTGCGTGTAGTAGGACAGCAATGGATCTTTACATTCCAAACTGATCTTGTAACATCCAAGTTTCTCACCCAGTAAAATCAGCGTTTCAACAATCCTGAGAGACATTGGCCAAACATTTAAAATTGGACACAAATCAGCACCACTTCAAATAATTAAAGAAAAAACCCACTTGTTCAAAAAGAGATACAGTGTACCGGTATTTACTTACAGTTTTCCAATTTTTTTCCCTCTGCAACTATCATCCACAACTATGTCTTCTATTCTGCCACGCTGAATGAAATAATAAACAAGACCCATTGTATACTTATTTACAGAGCTAAAGGGGTAGGCAAGTGATTTAATACCCAGTTTCAAGAAAAATGTTGCTGTTCAAATAAAGGAGCTTATTTTGGAGTTCACCCCGGCCACTTGAAAGTCACAACTGCAAACAAGAAAGTGCCTTTAATTTGGTGAAACTTGATAACATGGACAAAAGCCTCAGCTGACTAACAAACAATGAAGTTATTTCACAACTGAAGAAAGTCACTTATAATAACATATTATATTTCTCTTATAAAGAAATTGTGATATTAAATGTAAATCTAGCGTGATTAACCACATCAAAAATAATTGACATAACCTTCTACACATCTAACCATCCAATAATTTCATTATTGACCTCCTCCAAATTAATGCTTCGACCCCTACTGTTACCACATCCAAGTTGAATGAAATGGCGACAAACAAGGGTTTTTTAGCTTTAAAACATAGACAGATTAAATACTTAAAAGAGATTAGTAAAAGAAGCTACAAAGATACATACCACAGCAGTTTCATGGATGTATTTTTGTTCTACAACCAATGTTCCACTGGCGACTATCTTTGCTAACTCTGTGTCCTCAACAACAATAAGATAATATGTACCAGGACATGACGTCATAGCATAGAAGCGCTCTGAGGAGAAATCCAAACAATGCCAATTCAGTAAAATTTATAAGATATGCAGTCAAAAGAGGGTGATTAAGACCAAAACTAAAAAAGATAAATTCATTTTGTTTTTGACTGGACAAAATTCCTGGAAGCTCCGGTTTCACTAGTTTCAGCAACGTATGTAGCAATTTTATGGCAAGAGTGGACAAGCTCTGAAATTTCATCAATTATAAAACCAAAATTAGATCACTTCACAGTGTGTCAGCTCCGAGAGTCTGACATTTACAAAGTGAACATGTTTTTAATAACACTGAGGGAAAAATGAACAAAATTAAATTTATATAGCAAAATTATACGTACTTAAGAACATCTCTTTTGATACATCTCCAACCTTGGTTAGTAGACTTAAAAGCTGTAAAAAACCTGCAGAATAGAGAACAGCATGAGTTTATAAAGGTACTATAAAAATTAACAGAAAGTAAACTGTCTGAAGACTATTTAGTTTAAAAAAGGCCATCTCCCTGAGGTTTGTTCTGTGAACTGAATAATATCAAAATTTACCTTTGTCATAATCATCGCTACATAATGGCCTCAACACCAAATTATCACCAGGATTATCCACAAATAAACCACTTTCATGCAGTTTGCACTCTCCTTTGCCAAGATCAATATCTCTTAAAAGTTCTCTGTCAAACATGGACACAGGATCCTCTTCATTCTATTGAAAAAAGATCAACAATTTAGCACTTTAAACATCTACTGCTCATCACCAGCAGTGGAAGCCACATGCACAGTAGCTAGATGTCTAGCTATAGCATATATATTGAGCCCCACATCAAACTACCTGGGTTTGACCACCAGCAGGGGTCAATTTGTTGTGTTCTTCGTCAAGGCACATTACCCTTGTTGTGATTTTTTTTTTCACCCAAGATTAAAGACAAGGGTGGGCTAACTGTTTATAAAAGAAACATATATTCAGACAACAATTCTGGGGAGCAGCCTGCAATGTACCAATAACCAGTCACAGGGGAGCAGCTATTAGTCCTTCTTAATTCATGCTTTGAAAAACAGGGTAAATCCCAGGAGTTTGAGCCATTAGCCTGCATGAGTACAACTTGAGTTTGGTTTAAGTTAATCTTACAGTATTTGTTTTGAAAAAAGAAAAGAAATAGGCTAGGTATAAATTTTGGGCCAAAAATCCTAACCATTATGCTAGGGACCACATCTTATTTATGTAGACTGAACATTTTAGCTGCACGCCTATTATAGGTTTCATTAAATGAAGATTACCAAACGCTGACTAATTCTTATGATTTTACTTATCTATTTATTAATTAAAATAATTTTGCTGAAGTTAACAAACTTAGTCGTCCTGAAAAAGATTTGAACGTTTAAAGTTTTTATTGCCACATCAAAGCAAATATTAACTTACTCAACAACTAAAATCAATTTGACCCGCTCTCCATTTTTAGACTATTTCCGGTAAGTGATAATTTCCTTTTCAATATGCACTTTTCGTGTAAAACGGGGAATGAGCAGTCGATAACTAAAATAAGGAATGATCAGCTTATGCAACAAAATCGACAAACCTCCAATTCATATTTAAATAAGCTCAAGTTGTTATGTTGTTACGTGTACAGCAAGCCTACAGGCATACAAGCAGGAGGCCATATCTTCAGAGTAAAGTTATTGCTCTGTAAAATATTACGACGCCAAAANATTATACTTTTAAGACCTTTTAAGGCAAGCAATGCTACCTCGTTTTGATTTTCTTTGTACTGGTCATTTTTCTTGCATTTAAGTCGCGCACTTGAGTATGGCTAAGCATGTGGTGTGCGTTGCGACATGCGCCAGGCAAGTGTACACAAATACTCCTTTCATTCTCATTCCTTGGGCCCATTTTCTTTCCAAGCCCACAAGGCCTAGGCGCAAGAAGCCAACAGCTCTTTGCCTCGTGCTCAGGCTTCCCAACTAAATTACTGTCAACGCTTATTGAACTAGTTTACGAGCTTTCCGACTCAGGCCAGTGTTTGTCTTCAGGTCACAGAGCATCTGATTATGACTCGCTAGTATGAATTATTTGGGAGCATTCTCGCTGTGAAAACTCAATTTGCATTGGCCGTGGAATCATGCAAATGAGAGTATAATAGAAATATTAAATATTATTATTTATTATTATTTATTATAAAAGAATTTACGTGTTCCACACCATCACTCTACTCGAAGCCGCGATAGCAAAGAGGTTGGCGACCCCAGTTGTTCAAAGGGTGGACAACTCTATCCACTAGAAAAATCCTTTTCCAGTGGATAAGTGTTCACAAAACAAACCACGCTATCGACGGGATAGTGATTTATCCGGAGGATACTGTTATCCACCCTTTGAACAACTAGGGGCAGAGTAATTCCCCATTAGTTATTACCATGTCATGAATATTACACCATTCTATAATAAATAATAGAGCGCGGTGCCACTCACTCTTAGTCCACCTACAAACTGGTCACAAATACTCCATATCTTAACTACAATATACGGAAACGTTTCTGTCAATAACAGTCCGAGGTCCCGTAAGTCGACTTTCTTGAGACCAGTAGGTGTCCGCTTATCGGGTCAAAAATGTAGTATCTGTGTATGAGGCTGGGACCTTGACTAAATGCCGAACTCGGGAGATTTCCGTCAGACACACCCACACAGACACCAGAAAGATTTGCAAATATCACAAGCACAACACAAAACTGTGGCTCATTTGTTTATATCTCTTGTGACCTTCATCAGTATTGAATACTCCATAGCTATCAATCCTATTACGCGCAAATTATAAAAGTTTTTCATAAACAACACACAACACCCTCGCGCACACACACTCCTGTTCCTTTCACCTCAGCACTCCGCGCCGGCGTAAAATGGCGCGCTGTATTTTGATACGGTATTCAGAAGTTTGCATTTTATAGACACAATAGTTTACTGCAATGAATCANCCTGTTCCTTTCACCTCAGCACTCCGCGCCGGCGTAAAATGGCGCGCTGTATTTTGATACGGTATTCAGAAGTTTGCATTTTATAGACACAATAGTTTACTGCAATGAATCATACGACTTATCACCCAGTTTACTCACGGGACAAAGACGGTGAGAGACTAAAACATTATTGGTTGCTCGTTATAGTTTGTCCAAACGGTAAGAGAACCGAGAGAAACTGGGCGTGTGAAAAAGAGAGTGGACTGGGGAAGAATGAACTAAACAATCTTCCCCAGACCTCTCTCATTTTTTGGCTCACCTTCGCTGGTGTTCTCCACGACGGAGGGCCTGGGTTAGATCACCAGTACCAGAAGATGGGAATAGTTAAACACACGTTAAATCCACGGTTTAGCATGAAATGATTGGAAGTCAATTGTTCGCTTGAGTGAGAAATAACACCAAGTTTTGAATTCGAAGCCAAGTTACAATTGTTAAACATCTAACTTAGGTAACTAACTTGAACCAATTTTCGTTTCCTTTGGAGGTTTGAAAAAATGCGATTCCACTGTACATGAAGGCCAAAACACAAATAATTAATTATAAATTTTCTTTTGTTGTGTTCCCTGAGACTTGGAGCCAAGTAAAAATTTGGAAACCGGTGGATTGCCTTGTTGCCGCCGTCGTTTAAGGTTTTAAACGACCGATGTTGCCATTGTCAAGCCTGTTCTAAAACACTCAGGCTTGAAACGTCAGTATGCAAAAGCGACACTAGTCAAGACTGGATTCTTGAGCTTAGAATCACCAAGGGCACCGTCAGAGGCGAACACTTTGAATTGCTCGGGGGTAGGCCATTGTGAAAAAGATTATTTATGAGACATTTGAGAACAAAAAGGCCATTATTGAGAAGTCAGAAAGTGGAGAATTAATTCTAAAGTGATTTGGAGAGCTTGGTGGTCCAATATTGCATTTGCAACTTCGCCGTTGAGAAGTCAATTGGGAGAGTTTCTCCTGAGAAAAACCTCACTCTCAAAACCTGTCTAACGATAGAAAAAAATAATTTTTGCGCTGTTGCATTTTCAATGGGATAATGAAAATACGATATCATCGGAAACTGTTTTTCAAGCACAGTTGGATCCCACCCCACAACCACCACGCCCATAATCCGAACCGCGAAACCCAATTCTTGCTTCAAAGGAGACTATCACCTCACGGCCCAAAATGGTAGTTTTGTCGCCCCGTGTCGACTGTCACGTTTGTTTTGTACCACGCTTTGTTTCTCCTCAGTAGAAAGACTCTCTTCTTCGTCTGACGAGTCTCCTTCACCGTATGCCACTAATGATGCAATGGCTGGTGACTTCACTGCTACGCTATCCTCCGTCTTTGGCTTCTTTGTGACAGCAGCGGGTTGTGAAAAAGATGGAGCTTCTCGCTTATCTGTTAACAAAAAAAAAACGCACACCACAACACAACAGGAAGAGACAAACGGAACAAAGAAAACACAGGTAAAGAGATTGTTAAGTTACCAGCATCACAGAGTCCACAGGGGTTCACATGAAACAAAAACAAGAGTCGAATTAGTAAAACAATCAAAAAAGGAAAATACCGTAGATCGTCAGAGTACCCCAACCTCCCCACCCACCCCTGTCCTTGTTTGATTCTCTCGTACCCCTTGCTAAGATGACAATATACAATGTATTTCATTGCTTGTTTTTGAAGATACTTCTTTTTAAACTGAAAAATAGGCAAAAACTAACAGAAGAACAAACAGAAACTAACTGGTCTTCGACATCTATGAGGGCTAACTGACTTCCATTCAAACAAACAACCAAACAAAAACAACAACAAACAAACAAACACAACAAAACACTGATCTCAAGACACCTCAACATCAGTTACAACTTTTCAACAGTTCTGAATGAGCGAGAAAAACCCACATTGACAAATGTAGCTTACATGAAACACAAGAACTGAAAACATGTTGACCTACACTGCTGGTGACAGCAAAATATGGAACCTTACCTGTTGCTAGTCTGCTCCGGGAGGAGGCCTCTGTAGCAGGCAAGGCACTTTTAGGAGGCAGCGGGGCTACGAACTCGCGAACTTTGGGCTTAGTTTTCACGACCGGAAGGGCTGGAGGAGGCGGCATCAACGGTGACGGCTGTTTCTGGCCCTCGGCTGCTTCAGCTTCACCTAGATTTAAGATGGAGGAGTCCTAGAAGAAAGTCATCAATCAGCAGGCAAAGGAAAGAAAGAACAGATATGTTAGCAAAGATCAGTCTTGATGTCGGGCTGCTAAGAGGCAACAAAGCGGACATCAGTAACAAAGCAATACTCGTTTTGGTCGCAAAAACTTAGGGTGAAAAGGGAAATCCACGAGCCAACTGGCCTTGGAATGTAACACTACAACCATGTTTCTGTACATCGAGTACCTAGGAGTATTGCTAGTCCCCTTCACTCCCCAGATGAAATGCTAGGCGATCAAAGGTTACTTCAAGGCATTTTGTACATCAATAGACTGAAGATGACAGTAGGCTCCGTCGAAACATCTCTTTAAAACTTAAAAGTTTTGTCGTTTTCTTTAAATTTTGTGTCAAGTTTTCCAAAACAACCTCGCGAGCCAGAGTGTGCATCACTCTTCACCGAACCAAACCCCAGCCTGCTCCTAAAACAATACTCTATCGCAAGTGATGAAGCGCTTTTTTATATGCTAAGCGATCCACAGACAAGTGTACGTTGTACAAAGATTTATTCAATATGCCCGGTAGAGCGAGAAATTCTAAAATAACAGAGCAAGGCCAGAGCACCTGATGTCCTGAGCCTCTTGGTGTTAAACGATCCGGCTGTGCGAAAGGAGCTTTAAATGGAATCTAAAGTTGTGTTTGAACAAATATTAACAATTTATAGGGAAAGAAGAAAAAAAGAAAACAAGTTGTTAACACCTGAACAAAAAGCAAATAGTGGTTAAGAAATTTATATCTTAACAAGGTTCACAGTAATTTATCGGGCGGTACCTGTTCAGACATTCTGAGGGTGGGGTTTGAGAATATCGCTATAAAAGGACCCCCCTCCTCCTACCACCTCATCGGAAAAACACATGCACATATACGTTGAAGCTATGTTCTAAGGGACTAAAGGCTTTACAACTGAGCTACATTCAGTCTGAATGAAGGCATTCCTTGGTTACAAATGAGCACGAGAAATAAATAATAACCTAAAATTGTACTATACACATGTACTTGGACAGAGTTTTTCATACCCCCAGTAGGGATTGAATCCATCACCTTTGGACGCAGGGTCCAATGCTCTGCCCACTGAGCTATGGGAGTTAAAAGAGATAGAAGTGTTCGCTTTTGAGTTTGCGACTCATGACTAAAACTCCATGGCCCGCTCTTTCTATGAAGTAAGCTATATTGTATAGCCGGGTATGTGCTGCACCAGGTAGGCCATGAAACTGGGTCACACACAATCGCCACGCTACATTTAAGAAGCAGATAATACAAAGACTGTGCTCATCAACTCATGACACTTGTCAATGATGGTACCTTTTCTTTAAACTTTCTTTTAGGCGGCTCCTGAGCATGCGCTGGTTCTCCCTTCGACTGCCCTTGGTAACTGCAATAAAGCAAATACCAAACTAAGTTCTCTGTGATAGATTAGTCACAGAGAGAACGGTTTTCACTTGGGTGTCAAAAAGTAATTAGCTTGCACTACGCCACACGATTAGTTAAAAATCTCGCGCCGCCTTTTCATCATCCAGCCAGAGGTAAAACCAAAACCAAACGTGACTCGCTCGCGCTCGCAGACGTTTTCACGCGCTTTAAGTCGGCTACCTGTATTGCGTGTTCGTTTGTTATGGCAATTGCTTTGCTTTCTATCACTCTCTATCGCGCTATAGAAAAGCCAGTGGAAGTTTTTGAGAGGGAGAAATTAAATGTTTCCGCAGCTTTTTCCTGGACTAAGAGTGGTCCCTCTTTCGCTTAGTCCGTCTTGCGTGACGCGAGAGAAAACCACGAGAAAAATGCACGCCGCCATGTTTTCCTCGCGGTTTATTTACAGTCTCGCTCGACGGACTCAGCGAAAAGGGACTACTCGTAGTCTACTTGTTCCAGTTCTACTAAACTTTCCCAAGTTTTTCTATAACCAAACAGAGGCCAAGAAATTCATTGTTTCTATTAGAAAACAATGCTATAGCAAGACAGAAATCACTTGTTTATTTTTATCATCAATTTAAATCTCGTTTTTTTTAAACTCGCACCATAGTTATGTGAACAGCTCGTGCTAGTTCTGCTGCTTTTGAGTTTCAGTAGAATTCTACAAGTAAACTAATAAAAATGCTGTAATCTGATAGGTCAAGCTCTGATCATACACTATCAGCCCTTTCTGTGCAAAGGCGGGATGTCGTCCACTTAATGTCACCGTTTTCTCGTTCTCCAAAGTTTCCAGGAAGATTTAGAAATCTCAAGCTTATAATCTTATTGTTAAATAGAAGTTCGGTTTTTAGCGCACGATTCCAGTTAAAAGCAATACAAATACCAAACACAATAATGTACATACCTCGGTGATGAGCTTGGAACTTCAGGTCGATATTCATTTCCTACTGAAGGAGGCTAAGGAAAGAAGATAGGAGGTCTCATATTTTGTATTGCCTCGTGGTCATTAGCTTAAAAGAGAGACTCAAAGTAGTGAAGTGTATGCTTGGGGCTGGTAGCTGATCAAGCTGCTACCTGTGGACACATACCTGGAGAGGAGCAGCAGGTGGGGCCTGTACAGGAACTTCTGGACGAGGTCCAGATGGGCGTGGGCTACTTGGAGGTGCTGCCTGGTGTTGAGGGCCAGGAGGAAAGCCATGATATGGTGCTGGTCCTCCATGAGTGGGATTCACAGGGGGTGGATGGTTACCATAACCGGCAACTACATTGCCAAAAACATAGGAAATGGTTGATTACTAAGGAACGTTAATCTTAAACAACATCAAGCAACCAGCTAATTCGAAACTGCACAAATAGAAGCTTCTATCTCTGACTCCTTCAGAGGAAGTCCTGAGTTCTTCATTCTAGATATAAAACGTCAATGAAGTCTTAGCAGAGATTCATTTTAAATCCTTTGATCCTCATCTTGAAACACCTCTGACCTTACAATGTCAATGTACGTCAATCAGTCAGTCAGTCAGTCAGTCAGTCAGTCAGTCAGTCAGTCAATTCCTTTACTTAGAGTGGCCCCTACACTTCTATGTAGGTTCATCACACGCATGTACATGACTGTATGCTTTGATGACCAGCTGTAACCAGCAAACACTGGAAAGGAAATGACGCAGTAGAAGTATATGGAAGATGACAAACTGTAAGAGATCTAAATGGAGGTAGAGGTACCTACCTGGGGGTGGAGGGGGACCATAGCGAGGTGGGAAAGGATGTGGGACACNTTGTTCTCAACAAAATTTCATGCCTATAGACAAAAAAAAATTGCTCCTGCATTTCATGATTTATCATTACTCATTGTGATTGGAGAATTGTCTAATTTGCCATTCCAAAGGATCAATTTCTAATCAGACTGATAACACTAAACATGGAAAACTTACCGTTTGTATAAGATTTTCTACTAATTTCTTTGCAGCTGCTAAGCCATCAACTTTACTGTGGCTATAAAAGGGTAGAGATAGACTGTAACTCAAACAAACATTCCAGTGGAGTAATTTGGGAAAATGCAAGCCATACACACAAACTTTGGGAATTACATGTACTAGATTTCTATTTAACAAATAAAGAAGCCTGAGCCGTGTAGTACACTGTGATAAAACACGACGGGCATTTGAGAACATGAGGGAAATGTAGAAAACACGAGCTGCAGGAAAGTGCTTTCTACATTTCTCAAGTGTTCTCAAATGTCCAGAATGTTTTATCACAGTGTAATACAGGGCTCAGGCTTCTTCATTTGCTTTATAGTATAGAGGTAATGTGAGAAAAAACAATAAAACACGCTTTTTCCATGTGTTATATGATGATAAATCATGGGTTTTTAACCAATCTTAGCGCACGAAGGGTCCTATCTATATTATAAATAAATATATTTCACACAAACATGTACATGTAAATACTGTATACACACCTAAAGGCATGTTCTTGCTAGGCATTGTTCTTCATGATAAAAAATGGGACAAAAAAAACATGAACTTTTGTTACCTAATGTAGATGTAGAGTGCTTCAAAAGCTTCTTTACCAGAAGTAGGTTCAATAAATCCAGACCCTCTACCACGAAGCTGAACCTGCAGGAAATAAAACAATACAGTCAGTGGAACCCATAAATTTGACAACTACTTAGATTGGATATAAACTGGGGAGAATTGAAAATTTTCAGTCATCTTTTACAACGTTATTGTACTCTGTTTCTCACCATGCAAGAGCTTCACAATGTACAGTGTAGGTCTACTGTATAATTCACAGCTTTGGACAGATTCTCACCTTGGCCCCTGTTTGCATGCTGATATGCTGAAAATATGACCCCTGGAACACAAACAAGTGTACTGACATTATTTTAAATATAAAGGTGATAACAAATTGTACATATTTAACTGTAAGTATCAGCTCTCTTTTGGGCTGCAGTTACATCTGTTGCCAAGAAAAGGGATAGGCAACTTATCTCATTGTAAAAACTGTTGACATTTCAGCATTAACTGAATGTCATTATCAAGTCTGCCGTCATTCACAATGAAAGTCAATGAAGACTGTTAAAAATACTAAAAATGAACAATGAATAACAACATTAATCAAGAGTTATGAATCTGAAAATGCGTCATGCACACAAGGAGTTTCACACGTGTGCAATCTACTATGCGTATTCCAATTTTTTGTTAGACTAGAGGAAATTGAGGACCACCCTACTTTGTCCTAAGCCACTAAGAATTCAAAGAGCTATATGAATGTTAATTAAGAAACAAGTTACTATTCAGTGACATTTGTAGTACTTTGGAGATGGCTTTTAACCTTCCTAGAACACGGCATAGTACATGTATGTTCTGTTTGGTACATACCCCTGGTCCTTGAAGCTTCTCCTTAAGATTAAACTCTGGCAGAGTGTTATCCAGACCAACAAACACCTTGTCTTGAACATAGTGCATCTGCAAGTTAAGGAGCATGTGCAGGAAACAATAAGATAAGTTATTCATGAGCCAAGATTGGAAAAAATTGTGCTTTACAGTGGTGGAATCATCACTCCCAGATTATGAGCTAGAGTACAATTGATGGGAATATAGACTATAAAAAAGACAAAATTTCCCTAAGTTGCTGGCCAGTACATGTACCAGTACATTTTCCATAGCGAAAAAAACAACAATAACCAAACAACATGGCTTTCAAAAATTATTTGCCTACGTTGTTAAGAGCTTTGTTCAATTTAAGGTACATGTATGTTCTGCGTGAGGTATTTACAATGTAACAACCAGAAGTTACTTCCAGTTCATAGGCTATCTGGGTGTACATGTAGTCTGATCATGACAAGGTCCAGGTATCATCAATCTGATAAGTCTTCCCCTTACAGTTCATGAAGAATTTCTCAGTATAATACNGAGAGAAAACCACGAGAAAAATGCACGCCGCCATGTTTTCCTCGCGGTTTATTTACAGTCTCGCTCGACGGACTCAGCGAAAAGGGACTACTCGTAGTCTACTTGTTCCAGTTCTACTAAACTTTCCCAAGTTTTTCTATAACCAAACAGAGGCCAAGAAATTCATTGTTTCTATTAGAAAACAATGCTATAGCAAGACAGAAATCACTTGTTTATTTTTATCATCAATTTAAATCTCGTTTTTTTTAAACTCGCACCATAGTTATGTGAACAGCTCGTGCTAGTTCTGCTGCTTTTGAGTTTCAGTAGAATTCTACAAGTAAACTAATAAAAATGCTGTAATCTGATAGGTCAAGCTCTGATCATACACTATCAGCCCTTTCTGTGCAAAGGCGGGATGTCGTCCACTTAATGTCACCGTTTTCTCGTTCTCCAAAGTTTCCAGGAAGATTTAGAAATCTCAAGCTTATAATCTTATTGTTAAATAGAAGTTCGGTTTTTAGCGCACGATTCCAGTTAAAAGCAATACAAATACCAAACACAATAATGTACATACCTCGGTGATGAGCTTGGAACTTCAGGTCGATATTCATTTCCTACTGAAGGAGGCTAAGGAAAGAAGATAGGAGGTCTCATATTTTGTATTGCCTCGTGGTCATTAGCTTAAAAGAGAGACTCAAAGTAGTGAAGTGTATGCTTGGGGCTGGTAGCTGATCAAGCTGCTACCTGTGGACACATACCTGGAGAGGAGCAGCAGGTGGGGCCTGTACAGGAACTTCTGGACGAGGTCCAGATGGGCGTGGGCTACTTGGAGGTGCTGCCTGGTGTTGAGGGCCAGGAGGAAAGCCATGATATGGTGCTGGTCCTCCATGAGTGGGATTCACAGGGGGTGGATGGTTACCATAACCGGCAACTACATTGCCAAAAACATAGGAAATGGTTGATTACTAAGGAACGTTAATCTTAAACAACATCAAGCAACCAGCTAATTCGAAACTGCACAAATAGAAGCTTCTATCTCTGACTCCTTCAGAGGAAGTCCTGAGTTCTTCATTCTAGATATAAAACGTCAATGAAGTCTTAGCAGAGATTCATTTTAAATCCTTTGATCCTCATCTTGAAACACCTCTGACCTTACAATGTCAATGTACGTCAATCAGTCAGTCAGTCAGTCAGTCAGTCAGTCAGTCAGTCAGTCAGTCAGTCAGTCAGTCAGTCAGTCAGTCAGTCAGTCAATTCCTTTACTTAGAGTGGCCCCTACACTTCTATGTAGGTTCATCACACGCATGTACATGACTGTATGCTTTGATGACCAGCTGTAACCAGCAAACACTGGAAAGGAAATGACGCAGTAGAAGTATATGGAAGATGACAAACTGTAAGAGATCTAAATGGAGGTAGAGGTACCTACCTGGGGGTGGAGGGGGACCATAGCGAGGTGGGAAAGGATGTGGGACACCATGCCGCACTGGAGGAGGTGGAGGCTGTCACAAAAAAAGTCAAGTTTAGATTTATATACATGTACAACATCATAATAAAAAGTAATGCAGAGTAACTTGCTGTGAAGAACATTATGACACAAACTATTGTTTTTCCACTGATTTATTTAGGTTTTCTATAAATGAGATTATCAATAATCTCAGTTAACTGGGAGATCTGCGGTTGGCCTTTGCTGTGTAGTTTTGCCCTTGTGGTCTTGCTCTGCGTAACTTTGTCACTTTTGCCTTTGGTTTGCCCCCTCCCACCCGCCTCTTGGTTCATGGTGGGCCCTGTGTTCAGGTAAGTTCACTTATTCTCCACTGAGAGTTCAGTGTGACAGGTGCCAGGGAAGGTAACCCATGGGAGGTTGCCATGATTACCCCCTTTATTTGCATTTCGACAACACCAACTTGCTTATTTCCTGCTTTGCTGTCAATTGGCACCTACCCTCCATTTGAATATTGCTTATCACCAAGTCAATCTCTAAAAGTTTTTTTTTCCAATGGTCTATTGAGTCAGTTACATATTCAAAGAGCTAGCTCACAATATCTTACAGGTGAGTCATTTTCATCAAGAACTGTCTGGTGCATGGACATAAGAATTATCAATGGCATCTCACATGCTGGTAGTACATGTTCACAGTTGTTTAAGTCAGTTGAATGTTATATGCGGCTTTGGTGAACAGTGTTTGTACATGTACCTGTTGTGGTGTTCCATGAGGAGGATGGTTGTATGGGTATCGTGGAGTGGCTGGCGGCTGGGTGGGCTGAGGATAACCATTACCAGGTGGAGGTGGCCGAGGATATCCATAGGCTGGAGGCTGTAGGAGAAGGTAATAGAGTATAAGGTTTAAATCAATATGCATGCTTGTTTCCTTTCTTACTATTATTATTAAGAGGGGCTGAAGAATGTATGAAGCCAGGGCTGTCATTAAGGGCCATAACCCGTTATACTTGTTAACAACTGCATCGTGCTGTACGGAAGATGGGTGCCTGGGATATCCAGGGGCCTCCACTGTGACCAGCGGGCCCCTAGACAGTATAATGAGCCGTGAACCCCTATGCAGTCTTCCAGGCACCTGTCACACTGGGTTACCAGTGGAGATGGGGAGGGGGAGGGGGTGGGGAAAGACGTTGACGAATAGACCAAAGATGTTCAGGAAACTGCTCAATCCTAAGACCAAAACGTACTGGGGACTGCCACGCTGGAACACGCTAGTACAATGGCGAAGTGCACTGAGCCTGCAATACCATACGAAGACTGCTGACCAGAAGTACCAGCTACTCTTTGTTGTTGACTTTGTTAATTTGCATTTAACAACATTTATGGCTGAGTATACTTCACAGGCCTTTGATGTTATGGGTGAACTTGCCTGTAGTTAATTCAAATCACCCACAAAGTAACAAATTTGTTACAAGTGTGAGGATCAAGGTTACAGGTGACTCAGAACTTAATGACAGCTCTGGAAGCTGACAGGAATAACACTGTATCTAAATTTTGACAGCACTGCTCATCTTGGCAAGTCACCAAAAAAAGTGCTTACTAAAGATACAATTTGTATGCTTCCAAAGGGATTGAGACTCAACTGGGTGAGTAAAGGTACATGCTGGCTAGAGACTGCGTCTGAACCTACTGGCCCATCAGGCTGGTACTTAGCACTAGTTTCCTTAGCATAAGCGAGTAGGAGTATTTCTACTCCTGTCTACATGGGATGCAAGTCTGTGCAGGATTTGCCCCAGCCGTGTATTTATTGGTACACTCATGGTTTATGATTTTGATTTCCAGTTGAAGTTTTTTTTGAAAGAAAACTGTTAGCAATTTGGTGATGAATAAGATAACAAGTCTTAATCGCATATAAAGTATAGTCATACATGTACAAGTCATGCATTGGATAAATCCCTATCCAGTGGCCAACATATTTTTTGCCAACTCTTATCCACTTGATCATGCTTTATCTAGTATTATGCACCCTCTGAGCAGCTAAGCCCTGAACTAACCTGATACCCAGAAGACGGCTGACCCATATTGACGGGATTGCCAACTGCTAGGATAGTCAAAAACAAAGTGAAATTATAATTATCATCAGAGAATCACAACATTCTACTTGTGCATTTAAGTGTTATACGTTCACACAAAGAAAGCATTACAAGAATGGTATATGGGTGTGGATCCAGAGGGTATACACACTAGCCCCATGGAAGGTCACTTCAAATGATGCTAAGGAAATGGCATCAAAAGCAAAGATTTTAAAGGGTAAGTATGAAGATCCCGTAAACTGGAATTTCTGAAAGGATTGGGGTATATAATATCCCCCTTCAAAAAGTCTCAGAAATGGGTGGTGGTGGTGGGGGTGGGGAAAATAAATATTTTATTATTATTATTATTATTATTATTATTATTATTATTATTATTATTATTATTATTATTATTATTATTATTATTATGGAACATCACATGAGATGAAAACTGTAAATGTGGTCAATTTGTAGTAAGGACCACTTGATCTTATGCAGTGGTACATGTTCAACTTGACTAGTTTTATATTGGAGGGTTGTATCAGCAGATGGGAAATCTAAACCATCCATCTACTTTCTTATTCCTCCCTAAACAACTCATACTGTAGTGCACAACAAAACACAGAACTGAATGTGAAGACTGGAAAATCAACTGCATAAACCATTCTCAATTCATACCCCATTCACAAGACATCTGAAATTTAACCTGAAGAGTACCAAACTGATGATGTGTGAAACTGTCACACAAAATACTAACTCTGCTTCTGTATTATTAGCATTTGCTCCTTTGATTTCAAAAATGCAACAATCACTCAGGCACAAATTTCAGATGTCTTCTCATGAGAGAAGAAAGGGATTGGGAGAGGGGGGAATCAAGGATGCTAAGACAATATACATCCATCTACGACATACATCTACAGTGTACAATAGTATCTGACAGTTCATTAGACTAAGTTCTAACCAGAAACATGTTTTACGCATGTCCAACTTTTCCTGCAGTCTTGACGTGAAAATTACAAATTAACATGTTGTGGAGTACACTTGATGTCTACCAACTGCAGTGGCAAAAATTGTGGCAAAAGAAACACACCTTTTTTACAGACAAAGCCCATAACAGCAAGACATACCATGTATATGTACCTTGTTGTAAATCTGGAGAAGCAACATGAAGCTGCTCAAAGAATCAAGTTACACAGTACTTAGCCTGATATAATACACACTAACCATTCATGTAAGGTGAATATCCATAATGTTGCCTCCTTGTTTGCTCAAATGCTTTGTATTCTGTATGGACCTAAAAATGTTTATTGAATCACTTAACACCATTCTTGTGAAAATAACTGGAAATTGCAACCAGCAACAATGTATAGATTTACAGAACATGTACTAAAGGTAATTACTGACGTCTTAATATAATGCACTCAATCAAATGTTTAGACTTTATTTGGTTTCTGATGAGTACATATAAAGGGTATTCATGTACCTTTCTGATGCAAAAATGAATTCTTAAGTGCAATAGAAACTAAAGATGGCATGATTACTAAGGGATTCAAACCAGATTTTCTGTTCCATTCAGAGATCTGGAGCTTTAATTTGCTTGTTATTGGCATCTGAATTCATTACTTAAAAAATAATTATGATAAAAGCCAGTTAATTGTAAATCTGTGGTTACAGTGTAGTTAAGCAAGCACTACAAGGTTCATAATATTATCTATTCACATTGTTCTCAACAAAATTTCATGCCTATAGACAAAAAAAAATTGCTCCTGCATTTCATGATTTATCATTACTCATTGTGATTGGAGAATTGTCTAATTTGCCATTCCAAAGGATCAATTTCTAATCAGACTGATAACACTAAACATGGAAAACTTACCGTTTGTATAAGATTTTCTACTAATTTCTTTGCAGCTGCTAAGCCATCAACTTTACTGTGGCTATAAAAGGGTAGAGATAGACTGTAACTCAAACAAACATTCCAGTGGAGTAATTTGGGAAAATGCAAGCCATACACACAAACTTTGGGAATTACATGTACTAGATTTCTATTTAACAAATAAAGAAGCCTGAGCCGTGTAGTACACTGTGATAAAACACGACGGGCATTTGAGAACATGAGGGAAATGTAGAAAACACGAGCTGCAGGAAAGTGCTTTCTACATTTCTCAAGTGTTCTCAAATGTCCAGAATGTTTTATCACAGTGTAATACA